CAGGAAACCAGTACGGATTCCAGATTTCACGCCGTCTACGCTGGGCTCCACGGCTGGACCCCCTCCTCCGCCCTGGAAGTCAGGGTTGCTGGTGATGTGCTCCAGGAGGTGCTCGCAGCAGTAACGTGCCACCTGCGATCCTGCATGCCCGTCGTAAACAGCGAAGAACGACCAGGGGTCCAAGCCGTTGGGCAGGCCGATGACAGCGGTATGCGCATCCTCCATCTCTACACGCCAGCCCTGCATGCTGCTCAGGCCGTAGCACAGGCTGTTGCCTTCACCATGAGCGTTGTGCTTCTCCATCTTTGGCTTATCCAGAAACGCACCCATCTCTGCGGCTTAGAAATCTAGTACAGAAAAGTTTGAGAATGATGATGAGCAATATAAAAAATATAGTGTTTCATTTATATGCCACTTACAAAAATACACCAACATATTTGCTATTTGCATCCCAGCTGGGCCAGATATATGGCTAAAAATTAATTCTGTATAGGGTTGTCATGGTACTAAATTTCAGTAGTCAATACCAGTAAAAAATTCACAATTCTCAAAAACCTTCAATTTCGATACCTGTTACCTACTAGGCTTGGACGATGTCTACCAAATTGGCATCGGACGATGTCTACAGTGAAACATTGTGATGGACGATGACATCAGGGGGCGGGGTTAGGGGTGTGCCCAAAGCATGAAACAAATAACGCGTTATACGGAGCCACTAAAAGGTTGCATTACAGTACGTGAAAGGCTTCAATAGGCAATTCAGCCTCCCTGATGCCCGTAATTTATTTACAGTCGCCTATACTTACCCAACGACATAATTGCGAGAAAAAGTATTTAAATATTTTTTTTATCCTCCCATCTCGTAGGCTATTTATTCCCTTTAGGGTTTCCGTAAATGACATCAGGGGGCGGGGTTAGGGGTGTGCCCAAAGCATGAAACAAATAATGCGTTATACGGAGCCACTAAAAGGTTGCATTACAGTACGTGAAAGGCTTCAATAGGCAATTCAGACTCCCTGATGCCCGTAATTTATTTACAGTCGCCTATACTTACCCAACGACATAATTGCGAGAAAAAGTATTTAAATATTTTTTTTATCCACCCATCTCGTAGGCTATTTATTCCCTTTAGGGTTTCCGTAGTACACTTAATTTCCTTTCCGAACACGGAACTGGGATGCAGCGGACTGCGGGAGAGGTGTGTGTGGGGGGGAATCACGATGTCAGCTTAACATCGTGATGTCTGTCAGCCATCGCGATGGACGACGGCATCATCTATCGACCCAACCCTATTACCTACCAACTGATTTAAAGCACTTCCTTATTTACAAAGTTAAATATCAGTACGACTACAACTACTACTATTACGACTAATAATAATAATAATAATTCACATATTCTTTTTCAGGAAACAACAACTATTATTATTGTTATTATACTTTATAATAATATATTTAATATAATATTATTATTAATAATAATATAATATTATTATTACTTATTTAAAAAAAATCTAAATTAGCCAAATTGTGCATCCCTGCAAACAGTTTTTTCAAACACCTAATTATATTCTCCCCCTCCAAAAAAAATCATGCAGCCCTAGCGCAGGATGACATGTTTGTCACTCTCAACAATGAAAGACAATTCTGTTTGGTGACACTTGCGGTACACAAATTATATACTTCAACTTTAAAGTAAACTGACTCTCCCACCCATCAATTGCACAGTTCAGTAACCCTGTTCAAGTGTTAAAACATTGTATGAAATTGCAACAAGTAAATGTTTAACAACACAACTTTTTAATCTCAGCAGAATAAGCAAAATACTCATGTCAGTCAAGAAAAAAAAAGTTATATAGTGTAGTTCTTATATGCAAAAATTAAAGCCAATTTAATTTAAAATCCAAATAAGAACAGGAAAAATTACGTTGCCTACTCATCTTAAGATGACATTAAAGTTACAACGAAACAGGAGTAGCAACAGATTTGACATAATTAATGATATGGATTACAATTAGGTAATTGAGTGCAATGGATTACAGAAAAAATATGTAGGGGGGGGGGAATTGATTCTATTCACTGGTTGTTGATTGATGGATACATATCTTAATGCCAGCATGCAGTCAGTTGTACAAAAGGGGCGAGGTTTCAGCGGACTACATGATTGGAGAAGCCTGACATACGTCACCAGAGACAAGCCTGTCGTTCGCCTGAGGATTGTGCATTAAGGGTTCATTTTCATTTCATGTCGACTTAAAACAATTGTTTACTTGAACTGTAAAACATTTAATGGGAAGTTTAATGCTAACCCGAATCAAGCGTAAACACACACACACACACCCAGCACAAGACCACTATTTATAATTCATGATAACCGAAACTACAAAACAATTGTTTACTTGAACTGTAAAACATTTAATGGGAAGTTTAATGCTAACCCGAATCAAGCGTAAACACACACACACACACACCCAGCACAAGACCACTATTTATAATTCATGATAACCGAAACTACAGAAGTCTTGTCATGCTAGTGGTCACTTCAGAAATAAACTATGGCATGTAAACACACACACACACACACACACAAAGGCAGGCAGACACACATACAGCGGGTTCCCAGCCATGTATGGCTATCAGCTAACGCACTGCTACGCACACTACACACTCGTATACTAAAAATAGACAAGTAAGGTTACCGATGCATTCTCACCATTGTTCACCACTCACATCTATCAAAGCTCACTCTGAACACAAGACCAGTGCAATTTATAAAACCCAAGCCTTGAACCCTGTATTTATTTGCTGCAGACTGGATTTACTGCTAGAGTACATTCGCGTTTTACAGTGAGATATCAGCACCAGTAATCAATGATCTTTGCCCTTGTTAGTGCTGAACAGCAGTGAACTGAAAGTCTGCGCGTGCAGACCTGCCGCATGTTCACGCGCCTCTATTCCGCATTACGTCATGGTGTCGCGAGCCTGTTAGCACGCTAGCTTCATGCTAACACTGACGTTTGGGTCCCTTCAGTTTGACTGAAACATTCAGACAACGTGAAACGGGCTAGTGGATGTAATCGGAAAATATAATGAGTCAAGAGTCTGGCAGATACCCACTTTTAAGGTTTGAGGTCAGACAATCTAGCAAGCTAAATGCTAACGAAAGGCCCATATGAAGCCTCAGGCTTGTGTTGTCAGACCCGCGGCCCTCAGCGCACCATGCGACGGCCACATACGACAGATTAACCCGCCGAGCTCACACAACACCCGCCTACTCCCTTAGCCTACATGCTAACAAGCTAGCTCTATCATTCACATAGGCATATTACAAGAGCAAAGAAACTTACCCACCAAAAATGAGCCCTGGAGAGTTCTGTAGTGGAGCAGGTAAAAAACAGATGAAAGAAAAGGACGGAAAGAAAGAGAGAGATATAAACTGAGCGCGGCGGTGGTGAGAGAGACAGGCTGGCGGATTGTTTTGCTCCTCATTCAGTCTGTGAAAGAGCGGATCACCCTTATCTGTTTAAACCAAGGATGCATCATTCCCATTTATTCTGCGTCCTGAACGTGGAAAGTGTCGGGTTTGACCGCTGTTTTGGTCCGCTGTGTTCGGGACCGAATGTCTGCACACCAGCAGCAGCGCAGGACCCGGATGTGGATTCAGCAGGGCTGCGCACTTAAAAGAATGACATCATCAACATCATCCCTCCATCTGTACATCATTCTGTCAATATCATCGCATCCTTCCCTCACCATCGTTCATTCATCATCCCTCTGTACATAATTATATTACCATATGCATCCATCATCAGTTCTGCATCCTTTATCTCTAAGCACTGGTCATTTTTTTAAACTCTAATTACCGGTAACATGTGTGAGACTGAACAAAATGCCACATAATAACAGAAACCCCTTTTATACACACTTAAATGGAAGCCAATATGTTAAATGGGGAAAAATTAAAACAGATGAACAGATGTCAAATAGTTATATGCAATTATTTCTATAATACCATATGAATGTCTAATAACACAATCCGAGCTTAGATTTAACATCTATCGATCTATCTATCTATCTATAAGCAATTGTAACACGTCTGAATATATAGATACACATATAGCCTATATCTACCTGAATATATATGTCTGAATAGATAGATAGATAGATAGATAGATAGATAGATAGATAGATTTTGAAAGGGTACTGCCTCAGTGACGGCTTCTGTACCGTTTTTTTCTGAGTGTTGGAACCAAATAAATAAATTAATAAAAAATGTGTCCCCTGAAAAAAATCTTGCAGCATAACAAGCACCTTGTAGTTGTAGTTGCACACATGTAGGGGCGGCGTTTCCGTATGGCAGAGTATGGCAGTTGCCACCCTAGTCCAGTCAGGTGTGCCGTGAAAAAGTATCCAAACTTCACATCTCTATTATAATTCGTTATTATTAAATAATAAAAATCAGATTGACGTGTGCACAGCCTGGAGACAGATCTCCGCTTTTTCGCAATGCAAGGGTAAATAAATAACTGATGTTTGAATAGTAAAGCATTTTCTTCAAACACTATGTCTGTAAAAGGCTAATTTGAAGGTTTGAAGAGCGGAAAAGTAGGTTATTTGCCGTCTAGCCAAATAGCCTATACTTTTGTAGGCCTACGTTTAAAATATTCTGTGCTTAATCGTTTATATCATGAGATTTTGGCCAAGTGTAGGCCTTAAACAACAAGAAAAACCAAGCGCCCATATAGCAACTATAATTTAACGTTATATAACCTGTAAAAGTTGATGAAAGCGTATAATGCGATGCACTTGCCTCAGATGCGGCCGTTCTAATGACAGACAAAACACAGATCTCCTCATTCGCCGGCCAAAAACCCTACTAACTCCATCTGAGCTTGTTTTTCATATAGCCTGTTAAGTGCAAGTGTCTGATACAATACCAGCACTGACGATGCAGTGTTGTTTAATTATTGCCTTTTTCCTTTCTTTTCTCCCCCTGTACCCATGACCCCCACCCCCAGCGCGCATATGGTTTTGTGAAACACCGCCAGTGGTTGCCCACAAGCCAAGTTTTAATATCTTAAATTAAATGTGGAACTGTCAGAAATGTTACAATGAACCATTTCTGAAGGCACAATTATATACCAGCGGCATAGATTAAAATGTATTAGTTTAGCTTGAGATTGCACAATACAATTTATTATTACCTAAACATATTGAGAGTGAGTCGCCTGCCGTGTGAGGAGAGTGAGTCGCCCGCCATGTGAGGAGAGTGAGTCACCTGCTGAGGAGAGTCAGTCACCTGCCGTGTGAGGAGGGTGAGTCGCCCGCCGTGTGAGGAAGGTGAGTCGTGGCAAACTCAGTAGCTCCCGGCAATAGTATAGTGACTTCCCGCAACAAGTCATTAGTCTTAATTTTGGACCATCTGGCCCGCCATACCGGGGAGCAGTTGGGGGTTCGGTGCCTTGCTCAAGTGTCTCACCTCAGTCTGGTATTGAGGGTGGAAGAGTGCGCTGGTTATTCACTCCCCCCACCGACAATTCCTGCAGGACCTGCAACCTTCGGGTTACAAGTCCGACTCTCTAACCATTAGGCCACGAATGGCCCTTAGAGTTCAGTTCTTAAGAGTTCAGACAGCTGATAAAAACATCACAATTAATCCACACAACTCCAGTGTATCAATTAATGTCTTGTACAGTGAGAAGCTGCATGTTTGTAACAAACTCATCTACTATGCACCAGTGAGCCAAAGTTCCTACATTACATGAAAATAAAACATGAAAACTTAAGACGTATGCAGAGATAGGTATATAGAAAACAGTAAATAATCATCTGAAAAACCTGCAAATGCTAGCATTACGTAGCACAATTTTTCGTCATAAATTTCTCTGTTGACATTGGAACAGCTGCAACAGACTAGTAATGCCATTCTGAGCGTCAAGCAATTTAATGCTTTAGTATTTAGAATGGTCATTAAGTAGGATTCCCACTAAAAATGTCTTAATTTTTTGTGTGTCTGTATCTGCATTCTCAGATAGACGTGTTGATAAACAACGGAGGCCGGACACAGCGTTCTCTGTGCATAGACGCTGATGTGGATGTGTACCAGGCACTTATGGAGCTCAACTACCTTGGCACCGTATCTGTCACTAAGCAGGTACTGCCCCACATGATCCGCCGTGGTAGTGGTATCATAGCAACCGTCAGCAGCGTTGCAGGCTTTGTAGGGGCGCCCCTGGCAACAGGCTATGCTGCGAGCAAGCATGCGGTGCAGGTGAGAGCAAATAGTTGATTGAATTCCCCAAGAATCTGCCTACTCTTATGCAGCAATGTCTGGTAAAGGACAACAGTAATAAAATATAGAAAAAGCTCCCGATTTGTTGTGTTTCTGCAGGGGTTCTTTAACTCTCTGAGAACAGAACTCGCTGATTATCCAAACATCACCATCAGTACCATCTGCCCCGGACCAGTAATATCTACCATCGTTCAGAACGCGTTCACAGAGGAGCTTGGCAAGGTACCTGCACCAGTTTTTTATTTTTTATTTTTTGGTAAAATAAAAGATAGATGAAAACTTAAAGGGGTCATTGGATGCCCATTTTCCACAAGTTGATAGGATTCTTTAGGGTCTTAATGAAAAGTCTGTAACATAGTTTGGTTAAAATTTCTCAATGGTAGTGTAAAAAACACATTTTTTACCCTGTCAAAAACAGCTCTTTTCAGAGCAAGCTGTTTTGTAGCATTTTCCTTTAAATGTAAATGAGCTATGCTGACCCCGCCCCTCTCTTCCGAGCTGCTCTCTGAGGAACTGTTTACTTTAGCCACAATCATCTGAAACTTGCTAATTAGCACATTATTAGGAAAGGCGATTTGCAAAGATTAATTAAAAAAACCTTATACTCACTTCTTCTGTAGGTGAAGGTGGATCACGAATGATTCGCGCGAACAGACACACATTTATGTAGATCCCATTCCCTTCAGAAACAAGTGTAATCCACTGCGTCTTTAGCGGCTCAGATGTCGGGAGTAAATGGCGACTGCTATGTTCATTATTACATCCAACAACAGAACACCTCAATCGCTTAGAAGTCATTCTTGTCTACATTTGCTCCAGAGGTGAAACAATGGCGGACTGATGACAGCTCACTCAGGGCGGGTCTAAGGTAAGACGCCAGTCCAGTCTATGCTGAAACTACTGTCAGTCAAACTATCGTGGGTGGGGCCTGTTTTTGTGACGTCACACAGACAGGCATCTGAGATCGGCTCGATTTGAGAAAGGGTAAAGATTTTGGTAGATTAAAAAAAAAACACTGGGTGGATTTTTATCATTATAGTGTGGTTGTGTACACACACTGCCAACACACATTTCAGTTCAAACAACTTGTAAAAGTGCATGTAGCATCCTATGACCCCTTTAAACTAAAGGAAATTTTTACTGAATTATGTTTAAAGGTGAAGTTTGCCGTTTCTGCGCTACTAGTGTCACCTAGCGGAATTACAAATATAAAGCATATTTTCAAACACAATCCTTTGCAGAACTATTTTAACACGCCCTTAAGATTATTCTTAAGATTATTTATCTGTGGATTGACTGTAAAAAGCTAAAATGTGTGGCAAAAACTTTTAGCTTGTAAAAAGATTTTAGCTTACCTGGCGAGAAGAAACTCTGCAAATTCGGCATCTCGATTCAAAACGTGTAAAAGCACCGCAAGTGTTTACCGTTGTTTTACCCCGTTGTCTGCATATTTTGGCAAGTCTTCGAATTTTGGCTTGCACTTCTGTAACAATCTGAATTTCTTTTTCCATGTAACAAGTCAGCTTAACACCCTCTGGCTCAGCCTGCTACAGTAGCCAAGCCCCCAAACACTCGCTATTGGTTAAGCAGGAAAGAGATTGATGGATTTGGGGTGCGTTTCCCAAAAGCAACTATGGTACGTTACCAATAGATTTCAATGGAACTAACTACCATAGTTAGCTAATGATGCTTTTGGGAAACGCACCTCTTAGTGGAACACTCTAATAATGTTTCGATGGTGCCTAGGACGCTCAATGTTTACACTATTGAGGGATAAAAACCCATGAATGCCATACTTAACAATAGTCAATTAACAATAAACTGGGCTAAAAACAATGTATTTCAACAAAAAATCTTCCCCTTTAAAAGTACTAAAGTAACTGAAATAAAACTCAAAGAAAAACATGTAAATTTAGAAATACAAAATAAAACAAAAGCACAAAAAATTACAATTTAAATAAAAAAGCTCATTTTAAATATTAATAAAAACTACAACAGTATATACTGTAAATATAATACTTATCTGCACTCAGAAAGCAAAACAAACGATCATTAAATCAAAATTCTTTTGCATTTGCTAAAATAAAAAGGTTTTTTTTTCTCTTTAGCCTGTGGATACAGCTGGTGATCAGACCCATAAGATGTCCACAGAGCGCTGCGTTCACCTCACCCTGGTAGGTCTGGCCAACCATGTGAAAGAGATGTGGATCGCTGAGCAGCCCTTTCTACTCTTCTGCTACTTGTGGCAGTACACTCCCACTCTGGCCTGGTACTTGACTAATGTTCTTGGGAAAAAACGTGTGCAGAACTTCAAAGCTGGACTGGTGAGTAGTGGGACTTTGGTGTAAACAGATCCCTGAACTGGTTTATTTATGCTACAATAGCACTAATATTTTTTCTGAATCATTTTCTTTTCTAGGATGCAGATTCTGCATACTTCAGCAAGCCAAAAGTCAAGACAACTTGAAAATCTCATTTCAAGAAACACCGATTTGTGAATTTCTTACCAGAAGGAACCGGGAAAGTCCCACTATTTCACGTCATCAAATAAATATATAAAACCTTATATTTTGCACGCTGTATCAATAAGACAATTGGCAAATCTTTAAAAAATGTCTATGCAGTTGATTTATGTATTCTTTGTGTTCACTGTCTTTATTTTAAATGTCCAGTTATAAATGGGAATTAATATTCTATAATAAACATTTTAAGTTTGCGTGAACAAAAAAGACAGTAAAAGATTTATACAAAACATTTGTATTTCTTCCATACATACAATTGCACAAAGACACAAATAGGATGAACAAAGCTGCCAGAGACAATATTTATAACACCAGGTGGTCACATGAAAAAAGAAAATATTCATAACCACTGAAAATAGTAACCGAGGCACATTCTTGAGATCTGACAAACAGGTTCTCCTTTTTAGGGCTCTTGACAGATGCTTAACAAAAAGGTGGAAAAGTGATAAAATAAAATAAAAAATGTGAAATAGAAGCTCAGTGTGAGGTGAGATTCAGTCAAGGACACTGAAGGGTTCACTGCTGAGAAAATAGTGTACACTTTCCAAAGAAGAATATAAATTTGGGCTCTGTGTCTGAATGAGTTTACAGTATTATTGTGTGGAGAGGATTTTGCTGGAAAGATCACATTTACTTCATCCCAGCCGCTGAAGTTCATGAATTCATGCATTTCTTCCAGAAGCCAAATGTCACTACAACAGTAGCAATTTTAAATGCTTCATACGTTCAATAAAATATTATACCGTATCCTGAATGAAGATGAAATTAAATGCAAAAACTTCTGACCGTGTGAAATTCATGTGCTGGCAGCATACGTGTGTGCTGATCTCAGGATGGTTGTGGGTAAACAAATGAAGGTGATTCATTATCATAAGCAGCATAAATGGATGGGCGGGGATGAATAGATGGGGTATCCCAGAGGTGGATCAGCTGCTTGAACAGTTAGGTTCCTCAGCATCACAGGATGTGCCTGAATGCTATAGCGCTCCTCGTCGTCATTAGAGGCATATAGTAGCTCCCATGACAGGTTGGCCCACTGGCCCCTCACACTCTCCTCATTCAAAACTCCAACCTGGACTAGATTCTCCTGCAGGGACAACACACAGCTCGTGTACGTCCCCTATGAAACACAGAAAATGTATTACACAACTGCAAATGATCATTTGGCATTTTTAAAAATGTAATTTGATTTGTATTGCAAAGATAATGAGAATGCATGAAGAGTAGGGGTAGACCAACATTTAAAATCATGTCAATACGGACAAAAAATATTGAAATATTAACAGAATAATTAAATTATAATTGAGTTTGATGATGTCAAAGATAATCTGAATGAAATAGGGGAAAAGAAGCATGTACAATTAAATATCCTATATTGACTGATACCATTAAAAAAAAGATGTAATCAGCCAATATGGTACAAATATGTTTTTCAGAATAGTCTCAATATAATACAGTGACCTAAACATATGCAAGAAGTAATTTGTCTGTATGTATTTAATTTGGAATTCCAACACAACATTACACAATCACAAGCTAATTTATGTGGAGCATGATTTTGGATCAATAGATTTCATTGTGGGCAGGGCCTATTTGGCAGAAATATGGGTGGCAGAGCGACAAAATGTCCTTACATACATTATAGTCATGGCTAGTTACGGCAAAAACTCATATATACTCAGAAGAGATGGTTTTTATTGCATCACAGCTAGATACGAGACAGTGTTTGGTAGCAATGGTTACATTCCAATAAATGTGTTTACCATGGTGAGATCGTGTCCGAGAGAGAATAGGAAGGGCTTCTCTTGTACAACACTGTCTTGCCAACTGCGGTCTGTTACCAGGCCGATAAACCAATTGTCATGGTAATCCTGCAAAGTTGTGAAGAGCTCATCCAGACTCTCTACCGGACCAAGAGATGCCTGGTCTACCAAGAGTTTTACACTGTACCTGCACAAACAGAATAAAACAACAGCTGTCACATTTTAGATAAGCGAGAAAATTTAGCTGATGTAAGGCCATTTTTTAATGGAAAATGTGTGCTGAATTTTGCTTGTCTGTTACCTGAAAGCCCTAAGTGTGAGCTGATGCAGCTCTTTATTGGCTCGGAGCCACTCGAGTCCCTCAGTCCAGGGGCTGTCCCCACAGTACAGCCTGAACAGCAGATTAGGGCTGAACACCTGAGCATCTGCCCCCAATGCCACACAGCATGATAGCACCACCTGGGTATAAAGCTCCCGCAGGGCACGGTCCTCCTGCAAACCCAGTGTTACCTGCTCAAATTCTCCCTCCCCGAAGCTCTCCACCACCAGCTGGGACAAACAAAAGCAGAACCAAGCCTCTGGGAAGCAAGGTCGCAGAACCTGGAGTTTGGAGGAAGCCAACTGAGCAGTCCGCCACTCTGCTGGCAGAGAGAAGAGCTCTGAGTGAGCGCTATATAAAATAAAGGTGACTTGAGTGAGGGCTTGTGAAGTGGAGAGGCTGAGAGATGCTTGGGATGGCGGTCAAAGTGAGTGCAGGCATGTTATCTTTCCCTTTATCTACACTGGGCAGGCTGAGCCACAAACCCAGACCCAGAGGTCTAAGGGTGGGGAGAGAGCCATGCTCTCGTACAGGCTGTGGATTTCTACAGAACCTGGAAGAGACACTCCCAATGCTAACTCGGTCTGTCCTTCATCTGTCCGCACCATCATTCTTATTGGCCGCCGTATGGGGACTGGACCGAACAAATCATCTTCATCGGACCAATCAGCAAAGGATGAGAGGCTGGAGCTGTCCTGCCCCTGTAAGTGAGAGGATGAGGAGGACTCCGAGTGAACTTGAGAGTCCATAGCAACTTTAACCACAACTGGACCTGGCTCTGAGGGTGCGGCATGCTGAGAGCTTTGCGACTTGCGTCCAGAGATCTGTAGTGACTGACATTTTGTCCGCTGAGCACCACGTGTCAATTCCTGTACACGGTAACGCAATAAAATCCAGACAAATATTTTAAGGAAGTCAGAGTTGAGCTGGTGCAGGTGGTCAGGCGAGTCAGCGATTCCTGTTAGAACGTTCTGGGCATCAGAGTAAACCCTGAAAGGTAACACAGAGCAGGGGGTCAGAGCATTACCCCAGTGAGGGTTAAATAATTGGAAACACTGGCCAGGTCATTCTACATGACCAAACGCTCCTTCAAAAACCTCATTCACACGCCGAGCCTCCACTGTGTGGCATGATTTTTCCTGTAGTTCCAAACCCTGTGGTGAAACATGACAGGTAATAAGAAATAACACACACAGGAGAATCATACAACTGGTGTTCTGTAGACAGCGCAAAAGCGCAAAAGCAAGTATACCTTAATGTTTATAGTGCAATAGCCATAGCCCCTCTCTAGAACAGAGATCCAAAGAAGACAACCCTGAAAGCAGCCAAGGTAATGAGACCCTGGAGTACAGGAACATTCAATCAGATGAAAAAACAAAGAGTTAATAGAAACTCCAGTTTGAAGTGTTGCATGAATATTAGATAAAATGTAACAAATTCATTGCTATCTTAAAAAAAAATAAGTGTTCATATTTAATTACATTCCTTAACCGGTACATTACAACAATAATAAAAACAAACAATATAGGCTATTGGCTTCTACATCCACTCTCTGTAATGCCTATTTAATGACTTTTATGTCAGTTATGTCTTTATCTTAATTTGGCAGCTTTTCTTAGCAAATATTTACTTTTACACAACTGTTTAAAAGTTTGGGGTTGGTAAGTTTTTCTTTAAATCTATTTGAAAGAAGTCTCTTATGCTCAGTAATATTGTGAAATATTGTGACAATTTAAATGACTGTTTTCTGCATTTTTATACATTTTAAAATGCATTTTTTCCTTGTGATGGCAAAGCTGGATTTTCAGCAAACATTACTCCAGTCTTCAGGGTCACATGATCCTAAAGAAATCAATCTTATATGTTGATTTGGTGCTCAAGAATAATTTCTTATTATCTTATTATTCTTCTTATTATGTTAAAAAACAGGTGTGCTGCTTGATGTTTGTGGAAACCATCATGATAAATTTTTTAGGATTCTTTGATGAATAGAAAGTTCAATAGAACATAATTTAAAGGAGTCATATGATGTTGCTAAAAAGAACATTATTTTGTAGATTTTTTTTTGGGATAATAATGTAAACTGTCACTTTTGGCCAATGTAATGCATTCTTTTATCCAAAGAGACTTCAAATAATAAACTTTCTCAGTTCATGCGTTCTCTAAAAAATAAACCCATGACTTTGGCGTTGCTAGCGCCATGCTCTACAGTTTGAGCTATAATAGGAACAATCTAAAAATATATGATTAATGTGATGAATCAGCATATCATAAATTTTATATTTTGAATTCATAACTGATTATAAATAAATGTTTTAATGAATTAGCTCTAATAGAATTGACAGCCTTAATAAATACATGTCATATACTGTAACAGTTAATAACAGCGGCAGTAAAATGAGTGACAAGATTATTCTGAGCTGAGACTATACTAGAGATCAGGTGTGAAATTTTTCAGTTGGTCTCACTCACCAAATGTGCCATTAGCAAGTGCGGGTCTGATAGCGGATGCCAGTCTTTTGCAGAGCTGCTGGTAATATACAGAATCTGGGCAAGGGCAGGCGGTGCCTGTGGTGCCCGGCCACGAGCGCAGCGGCCTGGGGAATCCCACCAGGAACACGGGTAGTGTGAAGAGAGGATGGAGAGAGGCAGACAGAAGGGCAGAGAGAGCCACGACACCTAGAAGAACTGGGCACAGAGCAACATTGAGCACCAGCAGAGTTCCTGCTGACTGACGACGCTGTTTACTCTCTGTCCAGGACGTGATCAATAGCGTAAGAGCAAAAGTCAGCTTACATACAAACTGAGATACACGATTCACAACCAGAGAGACCTGCCAGAAAATGGGATAGATAAGAAAAATGATTACACAAACATACTTTGCAATGTAAATGCAAAGTTAAAGTTATATTTGGCTCACCAGTATCAGCTGCACTGTAGTGCCCAACTCATTCCAACGTGCGACTCTGTGTCCCCCTGCAAGTCTGATGATCACCACCAACACCATCTGCAGCAAAGCAGCCTCAGAGCTCTGCCACACCTGCCGTACAAAGGCCAAAGAATCAGGGGTCAAGGGGGTATTTTAGTGAAAGAGTGCTGTCCATGTCCTCATAATGCTTCAAGGTGGT